TTTAACTCAAATTTTAATCAAAATCTTTAGTTGAACCAAACGGGAACTAAGCTTTATTTATCATTAAAAACATATCAAGATCCTACAACCTAATCCATGACTTTAGTTGTGCTGCTGGTTATGCCTAACCTTACCAAATAGCAATGCCACCCCACTCCACTGGGGGTGGGGTAGGGTAGGTTGGATAGTAAAATGAAAAAAGATGCCTTACTTTTCTCGAATGAAAGGCAACCATGAACACTAACCACTTGCTCACTCAAAAGAATTGTATTTCAACATTACATGAAAACAAATGAAGTGTTCAAAGATTAGTCAATGAAATAATAACACTTAATATTAAGAAAAAAAAATTGTGAGTGAATTTTTCAAATAGAACAATAATCATTAGTCCATCCTCTTTCTCCTAGTAGTGGCAATCCACCAAGGCCATGGAGGAGAAGACTAGACCTTGATGGTTGGAAGAAAATTGAAACTTCGACCCCGGCCCCAGCCGGTGACCGTCTTCTGCCGGAGCCGGAAGGTTGAGATTCAATGCAAGAATATTTCTAGGCTTTTCACCATCATTGGATGATGATTCATTAACTCTTGTACTATTAGGGTTCGTATGTCTTCTCATTTGTCCTCCCAATGCTTGTCCTGATGAAAACTCTGAACCACATATTGAACACTCATGAATTTTAGGCTTATTATGAGTATAACAATGGAAACTTTTGTGGGATTTCTCTCCTTCTTCTTGATAGCCGGACCGGGCGCAGACCGGAGCTTCTTTTTTATCATTTTCCGATGGTTTCAGCTTCTTGTGACTTGCTCTATGGCCTCCTAATGCTTGAAATGATGGAAAACTTCTATTGCAAGTTTTACATTCNTTTTCCGATGGTTTCTGCTTCTTGTTACTTGCTCTATAGCCTCCTAATGCTTGAAATGATGGATAACTTCTATTGCAAGTTTTACATTCATAAATATAAATGCTATCTTTTGTTGCTGACGTCGCATTTTTTGGTAGTGAAACACCACCTTTTGCCAAAAGGATTAAACAATTGGCCATATCTTCATCTTCCTCGGAGTTCGTAGAAATTGAGGTTGTGGGAGAGGAAACCAACGAATAAATCTCACCTCCTCCTCCTCTGCCTCCGCCGATTGGCGTGGTGGCGCCGCTTGATGACAAGGTGGAGGATGATGACCTTTGCCAATTGCCGCTTGGTACGTTTCCCTTTAACAATAAAATGATCATTGGACCGTAAATACTCTTCCAAGATTTCCATATTGGATCCAAAAATTGCCCCAGAAAGTAGGGGCGGACCCAGCACCCGGCGAGCCCCCGCGGCCGCCCGTGCTGGATCCGCCGGGAACCTTTTTACAGTCGGGTGGCAGACTGGCAGGTGTAGAGGTGAAGGGAAGGGAAGAAGAC